TAATATATGTTATATGGAATATATAATATATATAATTTATTTTCAAAGCCTTATTTTATAAACTTTTTTCTATTACTTTTTGTCTTCTTTTGTCTACTTTGAAAGGTTCTGTATTAAAAACTAGGACACAAGCACGCTCATTAACCTGGGCCACGGCGGGCAGAGAGCCTCAGCACCACCGTCTCGTCTCCCCCCCCCCCCTCGCCCGCCACGTCGCACCCCCGCAGAAGCACCACCCTGAGCAACCTGAGATTGGGTCAAGCACAAGAGCAGGTGACACAAGCGAGAGACGGAGCGGAGGCGCCGCCCACAGTGAGCTGCTGCTGCCAGGTCGAGCCTCTAGAACAACGCCGGGCCTGCGCCTACGCGAGCTCGGGGAAGCCGACCCACGCAGGAAGGACCCGGCTCACCTCTGGAGGCCTCCGTGATCCGAGGGCGAGCCCAGGCTGCGGTGGCTGTGCCATGAAGACCTCGTGGGGTGCCTGTCTCTGTCTCTCTGTCTCTTTTGTTTATGGAACAGCAAAGTGAATGTTGAAAAAGTAAAATAAACTAGCTACAAAGGCGCAGCACAGTAAGCATGCAAACCAGGGACGGGGCGTTACAGGCATGTCACGTGTTCTGCATGTGTGTAGTTCCATGTGCTGTGCTTCCCGACTGGCAGCTCAGAGGCGTGCTGTGCCAGCGCCACCACTGACATCGTCCTGCGATCCGATGACACGCTCCGTGCATGCTCTCCTGGCGCATGCAGTACACACACCCTCATCCCGGGGCTGTGAGATTTCCGACATGCTGCCCAGGCCTTCACCCTCCTCTGTAGGTGGGCTCTCACTCTGAGTGCAACGCCGGCGCGTGGAAGACGACCTCCATCGGTCGTGCAGTGGCAGGGCCTGCGGGCACCTGGCCTCCGGTTCCCTCTACGCAGTGCAAACCTCTCCTCTCCAGAGTCCGAGGGAGCTGAGAGCAGGGGATTTTCCAGGAATCTCCGCCCGGAGGCCAACCCCCACACGTTTCCAGCCCCACACACTCGGCTGAGGGCCGCCCCTGCAGGCGCGGAGGTCCTGGCGACCCTGTCCCCAGCTCACCTCACTGCCTGGCAGGAAGGAGGAAGCAGTGAGCAGCGCTTTCCAGTCAGGACCTGCTCGCGGTCAGCCACTTCACTGCTGTGGAGCCAGCTCCCCTTCTTGTTTTCGTTGGCATAGGGTGGTTTATTATCTGAGCAGTTCTCTGGAGAAAGACCAGGAAACGGATTTCCTATCCGAATAGCCAAGGCCGCTGAACTCCCCTCTGCTCCCCGGCCCTCTCTGGGCCTAATTCAGGATTCCTGCCCTCCCACGGGGGCAGGCAGGTGCGCTGAGTCAGTGTCCAGAGGAGCCAGTGGTATCAAGAATGCTTCGTGGGACCAGGGGTAGCTCCGGGGAGGTCACACAGAAGGGGCTTTTCCACGGAGGCTGGGAATGGGGTGGGAGGAGAGCTGTCCTGTAGTAGGCTTTGCAGAGCGGTGACACTGGTTTTGTCTAGGTGTCATAGAGCGGGGCTGACACGCTGACCAGTAGTGCACATCCAGCCCTCCGCTTGCTGTTGCAGATAAAGTTTTATTGGAACGCTGCTGCCGTCCACTCACCTGTCTGTGGCTGCATTTGCACCAGCAGATTTCAGTGCCGCAGTGGAGACTGCATGAACCGCGAAGCCTGGAGCACTCACCGTGCCCTCTGCGGGAAGAGCTGGCCAGCTCGTTAAAGGGCAACGGCACAGCACGTTTTAAAATGTTTTGTATTTTGTAGAAGTCTTTTTTTTTTCTTTGCCTTAGGGCATATGCACTCGCTGGAGGGAGAGAGAGAGAGACAGTGAGAGGGAAAGTGAGACATCATCCCCGGGGTGCTGGCCACACCATAACCCCCGCTCCTCCATTCTCTTCCCGGGATCTTGGGCGTGCATGCCTACATGCCTACATGCCCGGGTCTGGGACTTGAACCATGGTTAGCCATGTGGGAGTCCAACAGTGCAACTGCTATGCCATCTGCTGGCCCCCCAAATACGTTTTATTTATAACAATGTGTATGTGAAAATTAGAAATCATTCTTTGCTTATTTCAATAATATTTTTATCCTGGGATATCTTTCTCCTTCCTTTAATTGCCGGAGAGTCTGTGTGATTACCAGAGAGAACCTGCCCTGCAATGGGGTGTGGTCATACCATATCCTTTTCCTTCCATTTTCAGCCTCATCAGAATTTGAGGTATGTGTGCGCACACACACACGCACACACACGCACACACACACCTGATGTGTCTTCCAAGTTGACAGGCCAGGACTCGAACTGGTCAGTAATGTGGGATCCAGCTGCTGAGGCACTGTCTTATCCACTGCCCTACAGGGCAGGCCTTGTCTGAAGATGGCTTAACGGGTAAAATTAGGATGATTCTTGGTGGGGGGTTATGAATTTTTCGAATGTTGAGGAAAGATCGATGCTGTGTGTCTTTCAGGCACGGCGTGGCAGCTGAGCAAGAATTGCCGGGCTTGCACACTTCCCAGGGGCCTCAGCCCCAGAAGGGAGAGGGGCCGTGGGGGTGAAGAGGACAGCTTCACTAGGGACAGGGATGGAGGGTGGGTCGCTCGCACCCTGCAAAGTCATCCTTGCTATTGGGGTGAGGAAGGGGAGGGAGAAAGGGGAGCTGTGTGGCAGGGAGGAGGCCCTCTGCAGGCCACGGTGAGGGCGGAGGAGGCCTCCGCGGGGACAGGCAGACACGAGGGCCCTGCCACACCCGACGCCCCACACCTGGCCGGCCCCTCCGGGGCCAAACAACCCC